CATGAAACGTCTACAAGAAAACCACCAAGCTCAGAGAGCACCAAGGACCCCACAGTTCAACCCTGAACTACACATATTCTCTTCTATAAATACCTTTTTTGCTCTGAAAGGCTTTTGATCTCCGGGACAAAATGAGCTGCATCTAAGGGTACTGATGGAAGTAGCCGATGGTCTGGCCAAACCCTTTCCCATTATTTTGGAGAGTGAAATGCCAGGTGACTGGAGAAGAACAAATGTGGCTCGTATCTTCAAGATGGAGAAAAGCCATGAAGAAGATTCACTGAACTGCACTCCCGTCACGCTGACGTTGACCCCTGGGAGGATCCTAATCCTGAAGAGACTGAACGATAAAACACCTCGACAAACAAATGATCTGACTACAGAAGTCAGCGTAGATTTGTTCAAAATAAGGTTTTTTAACAAAATCTTATTATTAGATGTCATAGTCTTAGATGAGTGAAAGCAGTTCAACAGGGCAGGTAATGGTCTGTAGAGACGAGGGGTGGACAGCCACCTCTCCAGCAGGCCTTGAACAGAGCACTGAGGTTACAATAACTAAAAGGATGAAAATATAGATTTGGGATCTCCAACCATGGCAACTTTAAGACCGGTGGACTTCAACTCCCAGAATTGGTGGGCTGGGGAATTCTGGGAGTTGAAGTCCACCGGTCTTAATAGTTGTCAAAGTTGTATAGTCCAGTTGTAGATGGAGAAGATGGCCAAAATCTGACCCTATAGAAGAATAGTCGTGATGTGTTCAGGAACAACCAAGCTAAAGAGATGAAGACCTCCACTCTGGAACAGCAATCAGAGATAAGAAAATTATCAAATTATCGTATTTGACCCAGCAACCTATCAGGTCAGTGAAAGGACAGCTGGGGTGACGGAGGATGGAAGGTCTGATGGAACATGGCTGGCCAAAGAGAAGAAAAGTGACCAGGGGTCCGGTCTGGAGATGTGCTATTCTTGAGCAGGCAATTATTACCCACCGAGAAGCCCTGACATCCCCAATCCTGCCCCCCCCACCCCCCGAGCAAGGGTGTGTGCACCTATGCAGGCACCCACATTCAATGCTTAAGCAATCGTAATTCATAAAACTTTTGTCATTGAGATTTCTAGGTGTTGTGTGTTCCCTTGAGTCTTTCATAATAAATCGAGAGCCAGCCCAGAGTTAGTTATAAGATGGGCAGCCACATATATAATTTTTAATAAATAAAATCAGATCCTAAAGTTCAGGTCTGTAACTCTGGATTGAGTGGGGTGAAGGGTTTTTTTTTTTTTTTTGCATTTCTGGGACTCGATCATTCTGCACGGTCCAGGCAGAACTCAAAGCAGCCGTTGGAAGAGTTTGCAATGGCTTAATTTACTTTCCACTTCAAGGACGGATGTTCCCCAAGACACAGGTAGGATTCTTTCCACTTCAACAAGGAGGTCAGAAAAGGATGAAAACAAAAAATAGAAAGAATGCAGAGAAGAAGAACGAAGATGGGGAGGTGTCTGGAGGGTAAACCGTCGGATGAGCCACTACCGGTAAGTCTAGCCTAACGAAGAGAAGGCCTTGGGGGTGACATGATAGCAGCCCTCGGTTATCCCTTCCAGTGCCAGTACTCAAGGGTGGTCAACTGATTCTCCAGAGGCCAAGACAAGAAGCTCGTTAGAGGGAGATCCAGCCTAGCACCAAGGAGGAATTTCTTGATGGTGAGTAAAATTAGTCAGTGGAACAGCCTGCCTCCTGGAGTTGTGGGTGCTCCATCGCCAGAGGTTTTCAAGAAAAGATTGGATAACACTTTGTCCAGGATGGGGTAAGGTCTGCTGCCTTGGGCAAGGGGCTGTGCTAGAAGACCTCTAAGGTCCCTTCCAGCCCTGGGATTCCATGGAACTTCCTGGGTGACCAAGAGGACTGTAAGGTAAAGGTTCCCCTGTCCAGTTGTGTCCGACTCAAGGGTGTGGGTGCACATCTGTTTCTTGGTCGAGGGAGCCAGCATTGTCCAAAGACATTTTCCAGTCGTGTGGCCAACGTGGCTATATGCCAATAGCACACGAAACACCGTTACTTTCTCACCGAAGTGGTACCTATTAATCTACTCACATTTGCATTCTTTTGAACTACTAGGTGGGCAAAACTGAGGCAAGGGATGGGAGCTCACCCCATCATGCAGAACCCGGGTCTCGAACCTGGGCTGCCAGCTTTCCAGCTGACAAGGCTCAGCATCTTTAACCGCAAATAGTGGATATAAAATATTTTATTGATTAAGCTTGTTATACTAATGAATATCCATTGGCGGGGGAGGAGAGAGAGAGAGGGTGGGAAGGACACCCGTTTGGCTTTCTCACAGTGGGCCAGGTAGGGGTGGCTGCTTTCCTCTGACATGCGTGATTTCTGATTATCCTACATTTCATTTTTTTACAATTCTTAATTGTGCCTGTTTCTATGTTGCCTGGAGAGACCCAGCAGCGGGACAGGTAATAAGCGTTTTCATTACGAGAAGGAAGCTAACAAAGGAGCTGCAGGGAAGGAAGAACAAGAGTTTAGAGCAAGGAGGCTGGCGGACTTGAGACCAGTAACGATGATGAAACCACTGAAGCCAGCCTGGTTGAAGCTGGGAAAACCCAAGATTAGCAAGCCTGCCTCAGCGCCCAGGGCAGGTGCTGGATCTGGTGATCTCAAGGGCAGAGGTCCAGGTGACCCCCAGGGCAACCCCACCCCAGATGGGACAACCCAGGCAAGAAGTCCCCTTTGCCAGGCTTCCAGGCCTGACACCCTTATCGCTCACGTGGTTCCGAAATCTTGGGCACGGTTGCTTGTTGTGCTGGCCGAGTTGAGGGAAGGAAGGGTGACAATGTCCAGTAGAGCAGGTCTCTCCAACCTTGGCAACTTTAAGACTTGCAGACTTCAACTCCCAGAATTCCCCAGGCAGCATGCTCGGTTGAGTTGAAGTCCACAAGTCTTAAAAGTTGCCACGGTTGGAGAGACCTGCAGTAGAGTAAGGAGATGTTTTGAGGCGAGAGCATCTGTGGAAGAAGATCCACCAAGAAGATCCTAAGGAAGGTGGGAACAGCTTCAGGGCAGGTCTGTGGAGCAAGACACCGAGTGGCTCCTTCCTGGATTTCTGGGTGGTAAAATCCATCACGCAGGACTTCCCTCCCCAAGCAAGAGCGGTGGGTGCCGGTGGGACCCCGTTTCTGAACAAAGAGGATTTTAACTCCAGAGGCTCTTGCCCAGATTGGCCCAAATTCCACGCTCCCTCCCGGCCTGCCATGACTAGATTTGCCTCCTCTTGAATTATGTACAGTATTTGCCGTGATTCAGCTCTTCAAAAAAGTCAAAGCTTTGTTGCATGGATGAACTAAATTGCACATTCAGGTCAACGGTGCTTCCTTTTCTCTATCCTCCCCCTCCTTGTTTCGAAAGAGCCGAGTGGGGGGTCCCTGCAGGCTGCTGCTCTCCCTCTCTGCTTCTGGAACCCAGACCCCAGGCATCCACCAGAAGAGTCATGGGGCTTTGGCCCCCTACACCTGAATCCTGGAATGTCAACCAGGTGCAGAAACATCTCCACCCCCTTGCCTTGGTGGAAACCAAGCACCTTCATGGGCTCCTTCTACTCCATCCTCAATCAGGATCAGAGACCCTAGAATTGAGGCCCTTCCCACTGTGGAACTCTGCCCCCACCCATCTTTGAGTTGGCAGAGAGCTCAAAATGTCCCTTGAGATGGGTCATCCAGCCTGCTCATCCTTTTCCTGCCTCTGTTCAGAGTTCCTGGGGTCCCCAAGGCTACGACTGGCTGTCTTCAGGCAGTGTCAGAAAAAAGGAAGGGGCATGGGGGGGGGGGAGGAAATGCTATTGTAACCCTGGTTCATCTCAGGACAACCTCAGCTGGCCTGGGACAAGATGTGGCAAGGAGGAAGCTTGAGGGGACTCTCTACTGTCGAGGGGGCAAGACCCTTAGTAAGGGCCATTTAGGGCAAGCGCTAGCACAGGGACCCACACCTTCAGTACGTCTTCCCAACATGCTCTTCACATTAAGACCCTTTCCTACATTCACCTGAACCTGCCTTCCTCCCATTGGGCTCCCTGGTTCCGTGTCTCGCTGCATTCGGGGCTGCCCCCACTCAGGTCCCCCTGGAAGAGGACCTCTCCTCTCCTGCATCTCCACGGCCCTTCCTTCAAACAGTCTCGGATGGCCAGGAACTCTACAGAAGCCGGCTTGTTTCTCCCCAGCTTCTCCTGGTCAGCACAAGGCAGCGTGGTTGCTGGGGGTCTCCACAAAGCTCCTTCCCTACTCAGGCAGGGTCCTTCTCACAAAACCCATGCCTCCATTTGCTGCCCAAGGCTTCGGTCATCAGCCAAGCCCCAGGCCGTCCACACACACACACACCCCGTCCGTCCGTTTGGTGGAGACAAAGGTGGCTGCAGCATCACACGACCTGCACCTGGGAATCAGCAGGGAAGTGCAGGGAGGCTGAAGAGAGGAGAAGCCGGCTGGGTCTTTGACCCCCCCCACCTCTGAGGGAGGAGAAGGAGCCATGCCCCAAGCAGGGAGACCTCCTCTGGGTTGGCCCTCCGGGGAGCTGCCCCTGCCCCTGAGGGGGGTGGCAGGAGAGGGCAGAAATGGGCTCCGCTGAGCTCCACCCAGGTCAGCTGGGGAAGGGGAGGCTGACGGAAGGAAGGCTGATGCAGATAAAGGGAGGGGTGGAGGAGGAGGAAAGTGGGGAGGGGGAGGATGAGACCCTCCCTCCCTCCCTCCGCCTGCTGCTTTGCTGAATCTTGGACCCTCACAGTGGAGAGGGCAAACCTCACCCCCCCCCCGCATTTTCTTCCGCCCATCCCAGCAGCAGGTGGGTCCTTCCCCCCAGCCCATCCCTCCCTCCCTCCCCCCAGGCAGCTCCCAGGCACCCCCCCCCTTCAGCCGAGACCTGGGTCAGTGGGGGCTTCCTGGGGGTCTCCAGAGCGGAAGCCCCTCGGCCTTCTGCACGGCGCCCCCAAGACCACGAGGCTTACCTTTGGCCCCGCGCAGGACGAAGCCGAAGCCCTCATGCTCCCGTTTCTGCAGGACGGCCGCCTTCTCCTCGATGATGTAGTCGCTGGGCAGGAGAGAGCAGAGCAAGAGGAGGCTGGGGGGCAGCCTGGCGCGGGGGGCTCCTCCGCCCAGCCACGCGCTCATGGCAGCCGCCGCCCGGACCCCCCCGACCCCCCCTCCCGCCGCCCCTCCGCCCGCCCGCTCGCTCACCTGCCCCTGGACGCCGCGCGCCGGCTGAGCCCGGGGACGCCGCGGCCGCCGAGCAAGGGAGCCGCCGCGGCCGGCACGGGAGGCGGGCGGAGCGCGGTCCATCCTCACGCCGCCCGCCGCGGGGAGGGAGGGAGGGAGGGAGGGAGGGGAGCGGCTCCCTCGTTGGGGGGGGGGGGCGAAGTTCCCGGGGATGGCCTTTCTCTCGGGCTCCGGTCCTCCCCCGTTGCTAAGGAACCGCCTGTCATTCGGAGGGGCGGGGGGAGAGGGCCGGGCTTGTGGTCCTCAATGGAAGAAGCCGGCGGGGGGGAGGGGCTCCTTCCCTGCACATCCTCGCTTTGGATTTCGGGAGGGGGAGGGGAGGCAGCGCCCCCACCTGCTGCAAGCCCCGCCCCCTCCCCACTGCAGCACGGGCTTCCCGGAGGTCTGCGAGCCCCTCCCCAAATCCTGGGGATCCAGAAAAGTCCAGAGCCAGCCCTGGGTGGGGAGGGGGCAGAGACGCCTTTTCACCCGAGAGTGCTGGGCTCACCCTGACTGCAGCAGACCCCCTTCTCTCTCTCTCACACACACACAGAGCCCCCCCTCTCTGGCCCAACCCACCGCCCCCAGCCACACAGCCTCCGTGGCCCCCTTCAGCCAAGCAGACACTCCTCCCCGCCTTCACCTGCTGGGGGGGGGGCTGGGGGGGGTCGTCGGGTACTGCAGATTCTTGGGTGGAAAAAGCCCCCTTTGCTTCCTCAGTCGAGGAAAAGGCCAGCTGGCACAGTGGTCATTCCTAACCTTTACAGTACTCAAACTGCAGCCCCCTTGAGAAAGAGACAAAGCAGCAGCCTTGGGAGCCTTTGCTGGCTCAGGCCTGCTTTGTACGTGGATGGAGGGCCACCAAGAGATCTAGCTATTCCGCCCCCCCCCCCCGATATTAGCCTGCCCTGGAACTGAGGCTGCTGCCCTCAGTGAGCCTCTTCTGACAGGGGCTGGAGGGACGGGGGTCTCGCTTAGCTAAGCAGACTTTTCCCTAGGCAAGCCTGCCCCCCCCCCATGTATCTCTCCCTCCCCCCAGCAACCAGAGGCAGGTCATCTCCCACCCAGCAGGAAGAGCCAAAAGTTTCCAGCCAGAGTGATTTCCCCAGCTGAAATGGGCGGCATATAAATTTAATACATAAAATGTAACAAAGAAACCCGGCTTTGCAGCCGAAGGAAGAGCCTGATGCGAACATACCTAACACGCCTTCCTCCAACCTTTCCCCCATAACAACAACCCTTTGAGGTTGCCTGGGCTGAAAGAGAGGGAGGAATTGGACCAAAATCCCAACTGGGGATTTCCCAACTAGGCAGGACTTGAACTCACAATCCCCCACTCTTTAGCCTGGTGCCTTAACCACTGAGTAGACCAAACTGGCACTCACTATATATATAGTGTATATATATATATATGTTTTAAAATATCTGGGAAGTTGAGTCAAGAACTGATCGTTTCTTTTAATAGCTGCTCTTGTGTGACTGCGTCCTTCAGCACCAGGTGGGCCTTCCTGTTCTCCAGCACGGAGCCTCCACCCCTTCTGGAAAGGGGCCCTGGGGCCCCCACCTCTGCTCAGGGCAGGAGGAGAAAGGTAAGAATGGGCCCCCTGGACCACTGGCCAACCTCTGCCTGGGAACGTCCAGTGGAGAAGGTGGCCCCACGTGTCTAGGTGATGGTGCCCACGGGACCATCTTCTGGGATGTCCTCCAGCCAAGTGGATGGTTGTCCCTTGGAGTCTTGTCCCGGGCAGGAGATGGACTTCTTCCCTGGCTTTGGCCAACTCTAGAATTCTACATTTATAGCAGCTTTTCCAACCTTGGCAACACCCAGTTGAAGCCCAAAGGTCTTAAAATTGCCAAGCTTGAGAAATCCTGGTTTAGAGGCTAAAAGAAGGAGGGAAAAACTCCAAATGCATCTCAACCAGTCTACCTCTCTCATTCCTTTTCTCCTCCTCTACACTCCTTGGCCGAGGGCGCACAGCTTGGTGGGCGCAGCTAAAAGGAGGAGTTGGGCATCCCCCGGGCTGCTTGACCCTTCCTGAGCATTTGTTGGGTTTGCGCACAACCTCCTGCCTTCCTCTTGCAGGCCACTCCTGGCCTGTCCCTTCTGCCCACTCACTCTTAAGCTTCGTCTCACACGCGTGTTCCGTGAAGGCAGCCCTGTGGAGGCTGAGGAGCAGGAAGGACGGGCACGGGGGATACCACAACGCTACACACAGCTTAAGAGGGGTTGGGCCAACAGACCCTGTAAGTAAGGCTCCTCTGCACGGACAGCACCGTTGCCATGGAAACGGCACTCACAATTCGAGGTGCGAGACAAGGAAGCGGCACCCAGAGGAAGGGGCAAAAATCAGCCGGAGCCAGACAAGCCCACTCCTCGGCCTTGCTCTCCTCCGCCCCCAACCTGGTGCTTCAGTTGTAGCCGACTCTTGGCGGTTCTAGGAGCAGCTGGGTTCTTATTCTAAGTCTAAGAATAGTTATTCTAACTATTGTTACTTTGAGTGTACGCTAATCGGCATACATTCAAATGAAATCTTGTTCTGTAGAGCTCTCAAAGGGCCACCACCTCCAGTATGCACTACCTAAACACGACCAAATAAATAAATAAGAATAAATAAATAAATACAAAATTATATATATACCCACATAGGTGACACAGAGAAATAACAAAGTCTAGTTTGGAGGTATAAATGCACATGGCAAGAGAAAGGAATCTTGCGAGTTTACCAGATGGATGGCACAGGGAACAAAGCTGTTACAGAAATTGTTAGTCCTGCTAGAAATACTTTGAGGGGAGCAACAGAATCAGACCATGAAGTGGGTGTGTGGGGTCTCTAACAATGCTTTGAGCTCTAAGCACAGAGCACTTATAAGCAGCATCCTGAATAACGGGAAGTGAGCTTCCAATAACCTCCTTGGCTGTCCTCACCACTCTCTGTAGGAACTTTCTACCTGAGGTGCTGCCACCACCAAACCAAACAGGGATGCAGTTTGTTAAAACACTCTCACTCATGCCTCTGTAAAAAGTGGTCAGGACAGGAGAAAGATGTGCTCTCCTCATCCAATACAGGAAATGCAGATGCTGGTTTGCACGCTTCACTCAGAATGACATTTGGAGAGACCAGTTCAGATGGTTAGTTATCTGCACTTCCAGATACTTAATTCTGTTGACCACCCCTACAGCTGAACCCTCGATTCTGAGTGGAGTATGACTTTGCCGTCTCTCTTTCTTCTCTACGCATCTCCCGATCTTACGCTGCTTCTTACACTGAGTTTTTTTCTGTCCTCTGGCGGGTTTCACACCCCTGGGAAGCATCTCTGGGTGGGGAGGGTTGCGCCGGTTAGGACCTTAAGCTTCCCATGGACGGCACCATCAAGAACCCTCAAAGAACCCGGGCTGCTGAATTTCCAAAGGGTTCTGAGATCCTGCACCAAATGGGCCTATTTCATGAAAAAGGCAGGCAGGTTTTGCATCACCAGGCAAGCACGTGTCCGTACATGACTCCGATCTTGACCTTTGACCGGGGTCCTCCTTGGAGAACTTGGAAAGATGGGCCAGGGCATCTTTGGAATATGCCTTTAACTGCTCAGAAACTGGCTTGTTACTGAAAAGCCACAATATCCAGAATGACTAGACACAGGAACAGTTTTTTCCCTCGTCCATCACTCTGCTGAACACCTAATTCTGGCAGTATCTGTCTGTCTGTGTGTATTTGCCCATGTAGTATGTCTGTAGTAGTATTATTTATCCTTCCTTATCTTCTTTACTTCCCCTTTTATGGGCGTGATGATGGTTCTGTTCCTTTGCACGTATGCTTGGAGCTTCTGCACTGGGGACCAATTCCTTGTGTGTCTAATCACACTTGGCCAAATAAAGCACTCAGTGCAACACAATTCAATCCAATCTGATGTTGAAGGAACGCAAAAGAATGGATTTTCCTTTCTGAACACGTCTGGTGCTCCCCAGTTGCTGGAAAGCTGGACTGCATTGACCTCGAATTGGGGCTGGTGATTCAAGGACGTGCTTATCTTAGTAGAAAGGGCTATGCACACCCAAGTCGGAGTCACAGAGTAACAGAGCTGGAAGGGACCTTGGAGGTCTTCTAGTCCAACCTCTGCTCAAGCTTTCTGGACAAATGGCTGCCCATTCTCTTCTTAAAAACTTCCAGGGTTGGAGCATTCACAGCTCTGATGACAACCGTTCCACTGGTTAATTATTCTAACTGTCAGGTAATTTCTCCTTAATCCCAGGTTGCTTCTCTCCTTGATTAGTTTCCATCCATTGTTTCTTGTCTTGCCTTCTGGTGCTTTGGAAAATAAACTGACCCTCCCCCCTTCTTCTTTCTGGCAGCCCCTCAAATATTGGAAGACTGCTATCACGTCACCCCAGTCCTTCTTTTCTCTAGACTGGCCATGCCCAGTTCCTGCAACCGTTCTTCATGTGTTTTAGCCTCCAGTCCTCTATCTTTGTTGCTCTTCTCTGCACACTTTCCAGAATCTCAACATCTTTTTTATATTGTGGGCACCTAACAAGATCAGCAGGACGGGCTCTCTTAATGATCCCCTCCCCCGATTTCAGAGACAGATCAATGTATGCAGAGAAAAAGGCCTCCCTCTGGGCTGAAAAGCTGCCAGCCATCATGGAGCCATCAGACGTTCCAAGGCCCAGAATCCAGCTAGTATATTGGGCAGGACAGATGTGCCCCCCTTCTCTTGCAGGAAAGCTGCCTAGGGCTGAAAGTTCCCCCGAAGAGTTTAACCTGCCTTTTTTCAGATGAGCAGAGAATGCCCAACAAAAGAAGACAATTCTTTAAAACCGTTTTTAAAGAGGACCAGTGA